TTTTTTGAAGATGAAGACACCCAGTAAATTGCATCCAACACGTTGATAGGTTGACTTGAATTGGCATCCAAATCGGCAACAGCTTTACGTAACAACTGCGTACGATATAATTTCTTAAACTGATGGATTACTCCTTGGTCAAGCGGTTGACAATGAGATGTCATGTTAGGTGGAAAAAACACAAGTTCAATATTTTTCATTTTCAAATGTGGATGAGGAGCCGCGTTGTCTAAAAAGAGTAAAACTTTTCTTTTATTTTGACCCATTCTGTTATCAAATTTCATAAACCACTCAGTCATTATTTCAGTCGTCATCCAGGCTTTTTTGTTCCAATACCAATCGACGGGAAAGTTGTTAATATCCAATTTTTTGAAGGCTCGTGGACGTTTAGCTTTGCCAATGACGACTGGCCGTTCAAACTCACCCAACATGTTAGAACACAAAAGTACAGTTAAACGTTCTTTTGAAATTTTTCCTCCGGTACATATCTCATTTTTAAACGCCATGGTTTTATCAGGTAGAACTCTATAAAACAATCCCGTTTCATCTGCATTAAAAATATCGCATTCTGCGTAATTTGCTATAATTTCGGGTATTTTTGCTTTCCAGTTATTGACGGCCTCTTCATCAACACTTGCTGCTTCACCACAAACTGATTTAAAAGAAATATTATTTCTTTTCCGAAATTTTTCAAGCCAGCCATTAGAGCCTTTAAAATCAAATCCGTGCATTTCAGCGATTTGCTTACTTTTTTCTTGAAGCATCGGTCCTGAAACAGGAAGATTTTTTTCTCGTAATTTTGAAAACCAGTTTAATACTTCATTGTCGATTATAGAGGTTTCTGTTTTTTGTAGCTTTGTCCATTTCCGTTTCTCTTCTCCATTTTCAGCCCAAATTTTGTAAAGAGTGTCTTTATTTGCTATAATATCAGCAATTTGTGTTTTACTAACACTAAATTTGTCTGCTAATGCACGAACGCCCATTGTATTTGATGTTCGAAATTCCAGAATGTCTATTTTTTCTTTTAAAGTTAATCGTTTTCTTTTGCTAGCCATAGCGCAATAAAGTTCGTATAAACAATACGTATAATAAATTCGCACTACAATAAACGTTGGCATCACAAACACAACTAAACGTACATAGGAGATAGGACAATGCATTATAGTTATAATACTTCGTTGACGCGATAATATTTCAATGACTGTCCGTTATTTAGAGTGTCCTGTATTTAGAGGTTTTCCTATACATAAATAGTGAAAATGTTCCCGTCCCCGAAAAAACGTCCGCTATTTAGAGGTGTCCGTTAAGGGAGGTTTCACTGTACTATATTGTTTAATGGGTTAGGGAAGGAGGTATCCTCCCGGTTCGATTCTAAAGCATAATATTATATTTTTAAATTCATATATATGATAAAAATATATGTTGATTAAATACAAGTCCGCGGAAAAAATATATGATAACATGTGATAACTGATAACAAATGATAACAGTGATAATGTATGTCGCGCACATACGCGAGCGACAAAAATATATTGTGGTACGTCGTCGAGTAGACGATGGAACGTACCAACGCGAAAGAAAAAAAGAGCAAAAAGGTAGGTTTAAAAAAATATGTCGCAAAAGATAGTATTTATTAATTAAATTTTTATGCTGACAAAACAGATACAAATATGTCGCGCACGAAGATAGTGAGTGCGGTATATGACGGAGTCACGAGGTTTTCGGCTACGTGAAACGTTTCGTAGAGAACGGAAGATGGAGGTCGCAGGTTAAAAACCGGGTCACAAACAAAAAGGCAGTTGGTGTGCGTTCGGACGCAATAAAATCGAAAGTGACTCGTCGGTGCGTCGCGCAAGGCGTCGTTAACACCGTGGCTAGTCGTACATGATGGAAAAGGGGAGCGTGGTGACAAAATCGGGAACGCGATTGGCACTCGAGATTAGTCGCGACACAATGATTCGGTGACGAGCGTCTGGAGACAGCACCCTCGGAGCAGTTTTCCTTATCACAATACCATTATCACATAACCAACCAAGATACCGGTTACAATGTTTAATACCATTCTTTAGTGTTTATGATTTAAATAAAATGTAGTGAAAACACTATTTATTAACTTATGAAAAATGAAAGTTTATTTTACACATATATACACTGTTTGCGTTAGTCACACTGCGTGCACCACGGTATAGGCATAATTGGTGGGTTCGGCGTTGTCGCACCGCTATATATATAGTGACCCTGGTGTGTTCTAGAGTTTTCTTCTTTTATAGAATGTTCGAGAACCCTCGTGCGTATATGCATTTTGTGTTGCCTACCAGCCACGAAGATTCTCGACCATTCTATGATCGCTACATTACTCCCCCCCTAAGTACACGGAGTGTTTACAATAGATTATTGAATATATGTCTTTTATGTTATGTAATTATTAATTAAATATTTAGAAAAGTGTACTTTTCGTCCTGAGCGTGTTGTTTTTGATTGACTGTCCTGAGTTGAATCGGCTGACTTGGTTGTGTTCTTGTCACATCTAAGTACTTGATCCTCTATGTAGGCGGGTTTGAGTCGATCAATTGATATTGTTTTTGTAGTGCCGTTGATTTGAAGATCGAATGTCTTGGGTGTTCTTTTTAACACTTTAAATGGTCCTTCGTATGTATATGTTAACTTTGGCCTTAAAGCATCGATTCGTTGATATACATGGGTACACGTTTTTAAGTCTTTTGGTATGTAGGTGCGATTTGATGTTGATGTATGGTGGTATACTATTGGAGCTATTTTGGAAATTTGTGATTGAAGTGGTTTTATGAAGTCTGTTGTGTCTGGTAGGTGTTTTGTTTCTTCAAAGAATTGTCCCGGTAGTCTAAGTGTTTGACCGTAGACTAGCTCGGCTGGAGATGCTTTCAAGTCTTCATTAAGTGTTGTACGTAGACCTAATAAAATAAGAGGTAGTTCTTCAGACCAATGAGTACTATCTTTGCATGTTATGGCGGCTTCCAGTGTTCTATGTACTCTTTCTATCATTCCGTTGGCTTGTGCATGGTAAGGTGATGAACGTATTTTTTGAAAGCCTAATAGCTTTGATAACTGTTTATATAATGTCGACTCAAATTGTCTACCCTGATCGGTCGTTATTCTGTGAGGTACTCCGAATCTTGCAATCCAATGTTGAATTAGAGTTGTTGCACATTTTGTTGCGGTCATGTCTTGCATAGGTACTGCCTCTATCCACCTTGTGAATCTATCGATCATGGTTAATATGTATTTGTAATTTTTAGATGGGGGCAACGGACCAACTATATCAATATGTATATGTTCGAAACGACCATTTGGGGGATTGTAATTGCCAATTGGATTGACTGTGTGTTTGTAAGTTTTTGTTTTCTGACATTTTTCACATGATTTTACCCATGCCGTTATGTCTTTTTTCATTGATTTCCATACAAATCGTGGTTTAATTAGACTAAGAGTTCCTTTTATTCCAGGGTGAGATAAGTTGTGTATCGTTGAGAAAACTTTTCTTTGTTGTGATGGTGGAACGATTGGTCGTAATTTACCAGTACTTGTGTCACATTTGATTTTTCGGCCTCCTTCTATTTCCATGTCTTGAATTTTTAGACTGGTGTCAGTTAATGTATAGTTTTCGTCTTGCGCGTTGGCTATCTCTTCTATTAGATTTATTGGATTTGATGTGTTTGATATACTTTCGATTCTTGAAAGGTAGTCCGCGGTAATATTACTCGATCCGGCAATGTGTTGTATGTTAGTAGTTAACTGTGATATAAATGAAAGTTGTCGTTGTTGTCGTTCCGATGCTTTTTCTGGTTTTTGTTGAAAGACATGAATTAAAGGTTTGTGGTCTGTATAGATTGTAAAGTCTCTACCTTCCAATAAGTGAATGAAATGTTTGCAGCTATCGTATATGGCAAGTAGTTCTCTATCATAGGTCGAATAGCGTTGCTCGGTAATTGTTAGCTTACGACTGTGAAATCCCAGTGGAAGTATTTGATTGTTAATTACTTGGTGTAGGACTCCACCGATTGCTCTATTGCTGGCATCTGTAGTAAGCGTTAATTTGGCTGATTCACGTGGGTGTGCTAAATATGTTGATTTCTCTAGTAGTTCTATACATTTATGAAATGCTTCCTCTGCTTCCAATGTCCAATTTACAATTCGGGTGTCGTTTTTCTTATTTTCTGGGATTATTTCATTTAAATATAGTTGATGATGTGCAAGCTGTGGTATAAAACGTCTATAAAAATTGATCATGCCGAGAAATCGTCGTAGATCTTTTATTTGCTTGGGTATAGGCATTTCTCTTATACTTTTAACTTTTTCTGGGTCTGGTATCGTTCCTTCTTTTGAAATTTGGTGTCCCAAAAAGGTTATTGATTCTTGTTCAAAACTGCATTTCTCTAAGTTGATCTTAATACCATGTTGAGCGAGAATTTCTAATACAGCATTTAGATGTTCTTTATGTTGTTTTTTGGAATCTGAAAAAATTAGTATATCATCTATGTACGCTACTGCAAAAGGCAATTCCCGGATGATTTCATTTATGAACCTTTGGAATGTTTGTGAGCTGTTTCTTAGTCCATAAGGCATCTTTAAGAATTCAAAGCTGCCAAACGGTGTTATTATTGCAGTTTTTTGTATGTCTTCTTCGGTCATTTTTATTTGATTGAAAGCTTTTTCCAGGTCCAGTCTTGAGAAAATAGTTTTGTTATGAAGTTGGATATTAACATCATGAATATGTGGTAGGGGATATCGATCTGGGACAGTTATTCTGTTGAGTGCTCTGTAGTCCCCACATGGTCTCCACTGGCCATTAGGTTTTTTTACCATGACGAGTGGGCTGCTCCAAGGGGAGTTTTATGGACGACAGACTCCTGCTTGGCACATACTTTTGAATTCTTGCTTGGCTATTTGTAATTTTTCTGGTGATAATCTTCGGGCTTTTGCTGCTATTGGAGGTCCGGTTATTTGAATAAAATGGACAGTGGAATGTTTTGAGTCATGTTGATGTGTTTGGTTGATGAGTTCAGTATATTTTTTAAGTATATCTGAATATGCTGTTTTATGTTTGATTAGTGACACACCCTGTATATGGTCGTTTGTCTTGAGCAGTGTTGTGCATTATCTAGATAAAATATAATTATCTTTTTATCTTATCTAGATAAAAAATATTTTAAGTATCTTTTTATCTTATCTAGATAAATAAATAGGTTATCTAAAAATAATTATCTAGATAATTATTCAGTAATAATAATAATAATGTTGTACCCTGTATATATTAAGCACCCTGTATGCGATATGTGTAT